CCAGAGCAACTTTCTACTTGCTGTTGAGACTTTTACACATCTTTCCAGATATATTTCCCCATGTTACCTCCTTTGCAATAAAAAAATGCAAATTTCCTTCAACATCTTATTCCCTTTCTATGAACAATTTTCTGCTTTGTTATTAATTTTTCTTGGTGATTAAGATCATCACTTTACTCAAATACATGTTACTCCTTGATAAATCTCCCAATTGTCACAGTTATTAAATAAAAATATGTGCTATGGAAAATATCTTTATTAATAAGTGGAGACTAGTTACAGTTTTGTGTACTCAATATACAACTAAGAATCTTGTGTTCATATAAATATATCTTAGTAGTTCTGTATTTACACAGAAATTATCTTTATGGAACTCAGGCTTTCAGATGTTTGCCATGTTCAATTTACATTCCAGTTTCCATAAAGATGATCTCTGCATTTTCTCAATATATTTATATTTTTCAAGAACAAGTCATATTTGAGCTTAGATTTTATTATATTTGTAGGGGGAGAAGTACAAAAAAAAGGTTGTGGGGAATACAATAATGAAAACTGTCTAATGTCCAGATGCCGTAGTGATGTTTCTTTGTGTCACCTCTTCCTTCTGTAGGTGCTCGCTCTCTCTTCTCTTTTGCCTGTGTAGCTATTACTACATATTACCCTTTCTTTCCCAATTCCCAACACCTCTGAATATCTCCTACTACGCAAATTGGGGAGCACTGTCTCCTGCCTTTTTTTCCTATTATGAGTGACTCATTTGGCTTTGCCATATCATTTGCTTCCAAATTAAAAGAAGCCAACATGGCATACTCAGGGAATACCAAGGTCATATACCAAATCTCCAGGTAGGGCATCATCTAAAGATAAACCCCAAAACTACTTTGTAATACAATACATTCCGCAGCCTCACTGGTTCTGCCCAGGCCTTCATCCTGGACCAGAAAAACATCTCAAACAAATACTAAAAATTTACATATGAGAGAAATACTTCCCAACTCATTCTAGGAAGCTTGTATTATCCTAATATCAAAATCAGATAAATACGTTTCATGAAAAACTACAGACATGGAACAGAGAATATACAAGGGGAGTTTGCAGCATCTTATAGTTCCAGATAGTGAAGAAGTGCTCAAAAAAATATACCCACAATCCTGCTTGTATGTCAAAGTGTCTTAGAAGTCAATGAAAAGTGCTTCCAATAGCCAAAGCTAAACAATTTGGGCAACAAAATAAAGTATAAATGGATTATAACTCAAAGTATACAGTAAATATCCACAAGTCCGTGTGTGTGTGTGTGTGTGTGTGTGTGTGTGTGTGTGTGTGTGTGTGTGTACTAGAGGCCCGGTGCACAAAAATTTGTGCACTCGGTGGGGGAGGGGGTCCCTCAGCCTGGCCTGTGCCCTCTTGCAGTCTGGGACCCCTCGGGAGATAACGCCCTGCTGGCTTAGGCCTGCTCCGGGTGGCAGAGGGAAGGCCCAATCCCTAGGTGCAGCCCCTGGTCAGACTCAGAGCAGGGACAATTGGGGAGTTGGGGCGCCGCCCCCTGTCACCCACAGAGCAGGGCCGATCAGAGGGTTGGGGCACCGCCACTGTCACACTCAGGGCAGGGCTGATGGGGAGGTTATGGCTCTACCCCATCACACACAGAGCAGGGCCCGTGGGGGGGGGGGTGGTTGGGGCGCTGCCCCTGTCACACAGAGCCGCAGGGCGATCAGGGGGTTGGGGCACTCCCCCATATCAGGCACAGAGCAGGGCTGATCAGGAGGTTGGGGCACCTTCCCCTGTCACCGAACAGAGCAGGGCGGATAGGGAGGTTGTGGCCCGCCCCCTGTCACACACAGAGCCACAGGGCGATCAGGGGGTTTGGGCGCTGCCCCCTGTCACACTGATCCCGGTGCCGGGAGGCCTCGCAGCTTCGCTGATCCCGGTGCTGGGAGGCATATTAACCATTTACTATATAGGATAGAGGCCTGGTGCATGGGTGGGGCTGGCTGGTTTGCCCTGAAGGGTGTCCTGGATCAGGCTGGGGGTCCCCACTGGGGTGCCTGGCCAGCCTGGGTGAGGGGATGATGGCTGTTTGCACCTGGTTACACACCCTTCAGGGTGGGGTTCCCCACTGGGGTGCCTGGCCATTCTGGGTGAGGGGCTGAAGGCTGAAGCTCCCAACTGCTCCTTTTTTTCTTTTCTTTTTTTATTCTGGGCCAGCTTTAGCTCTGGCTCCAGCTCTAAGGTCTCTGCTGCTGCTGAAAGCAGGTATCTGGTTTGTTTGTGTTTTATAATTGAAACAATGTATAACTCCAGCTCTGAGATCCCGGCTCGCTGAAAGCAGGTTTCTGGGGTTTTGTTTAGCTTCTCTATTTGTTACAATGTTTCTTAAACTGCAGGCTCAGAGGCCGGCAAGGCAGGCGGGGAACGTTGGAGTCCTCCGTCACTGAAGCAAGCAAGTCTCATGTTAGTTTCAAGCTGCCTGGCTGCCGGCCGCCATCTTGGCTGGCAGTTAATTTGCATATTGCCCTGATTAGCCAATGGGAAGGGTAGCGGTCGTGCGCCAATTACCATGTTTCTCTTTTATTAGATAGGATATATATATATATATATATATAGATAGATAGATAGATAGATATAGATATAGATATAGATATATAGATATATATATAGATAGATACACACACACACACACATAACTGAATAAAATTAGTAAATGATGGAGAAGAGATAAATCTTTGATGGAGAAGAATTCCAAATAAATTATGTTTATTCCCCACTCTAAAGAGGGGGGGGAAAGCTCCCTACTCCTGAAATGTGGGTTGCACAGAGCATCTTCCTTCCAGAGGATGGTATGGAAAGGGGCCAGGGAGACTACAGTGGAGAAACCTGACAAATACCATATCAGCAAGTTGGTCAAGGTCATCATCAACATTCATAAGTTACATGGAAAGTATGTACCCTTGATATGAAGTACTTTTTAATATTACTCTATTTCTATGGTCTTCCTCCAGAAACCATAACCCCAGTTTAATTAAGAGAAAAATCAGCAGGCCAATTCCAATAGAAGTGCCTTCCACAATATATCTGAATAGTATTCCTCAAAACTTTTAAGTTATCAATCACAGGTAGAGTCTGAGAAACTGTTCTCGCCAAAAACAAGCCCAAAGAGGCATGCCACTCAAATGTAACGTGTTATCTTTGAAAACCTCATAGAACAGAGAATGCACACTTGGTGAAAATGAAGACATCTGAATAAAGTGTGGGCTTTAGTTAATACTGTATCACAATGTAAAAGAGGAAAAATAACTTTAAACACAAAAAGTTCAAGCAAAATGAACAGAATAGATAAACAATGATAAAGGACTACCTCATCATTAGGTTAAGGTTAAGAGATGTAATATGGAAAAGCTACAAGTTTCTTCCTTTTAATTTTTCTTTTTCTTAAAAAACAATTCTTATAGTAAGACAAGTATTTTTAATATCAGAAAAAAATTCTTATAGAGAAATCATCTGGGTCCTCCTCAAAACTGCATTTTTATATCCATGCAGATGGAAGCCAAAAAGTCTTTGACTAGATTATCTCTAAAATCCCTTCCAACTGTAAGATCATGTGAATTAGGTAAATTTTAACTAAAATCCATGTCCCAACTATGCATCTGGTAGGGACCCAGACATTTTAATTAAAACATGACTCCCAAATATACTGGTTAACATACATTTTGTGTCAGATATACTCATAATTTACCAGTTTCCCAACAACAGAATAGAAATGAGTCTAACTCAGTGTTATGTAGTATAAATGCAGATTATTTTTTGTATAAAGTGTGTCTTTTTATGTCCCTGTTTTTTGTTTGTTTGTTTTAACTTTCCACCTGACTCTGAAATAGGAGGCATGTTCTTATGTGCAATGTGGTATCCATGCTTTGGATGGACATAGGTTTAAATAGGATTTAGTAAATATCTGTAACATAAAGGATGACTATCAGTAATACACAAATGATCAAACTTGTATTAGTTGTTTTATTAGTTTGTTTGCTTTAATTTTAAGATTAGTCCATGTGCATATCACCTATCAACTAATAAAGAGATTTTAGAAGATGAAATCTTAAAAGCAAGGCATCCTATAAAGTTGAACAAATGGAAAGTTCGGGATAGCTAGTAGAGTTAGAGAATCACTACTTTTCAAATATATAATAGGCCTAGCCATATTAATTGTGGACCATATAAGAAATAGTCCTAATTATCAAGGTAGTATAAAATGCATTAATAAGTAAAGGTTATAAAATATAACAAAGTTGCAAAATGTCCTCTTAGGCTCTGCTGCTATATTCTATTTTTTTTAGAACAATGAGACATTTTTATTAGCAGTTCTAATTTAATATTGTATTATTGTTTCAATTAACTAATGTGAAGTCATACAACACATTTAATAAATAATGATTGATTACTTGGATCACCTGCATACTATTATTGGCAATTCACTACTCATTCTGTTTTGCAATTCAAAATTCCTTGACCAAGGAGAGTAAAAGAGGAATGGATGCATATTGATCCCTCGCTTGCTGAACAAAATACTCAAGGTCTAGGCCAAATGGAGGTATGTGTATAATCGCACCTTGAGAACACAGAGGAGAGCACTCCAGGTACAAAGTGCTCTTTCCCTGATACTAGCAGGGGAGCCCCCCTGGCTAGAGCTACTCCCCATTCACCTTGTAACTCCAGCCTCACACATCATAGACCCTTAAAACACCACGATCCATCCTTAACTCTGTTTTACTCAACCGTAACTTATCCATGAGTGAAAATAAGACATCGCAGCAGACATTAATGATAAAAACATTGGAATAGCCATATTTAAATGTTTCTGAAAGAAATAGTACCCATCTTTGTAGCATTAGGTTTCTATTTTGTCCAATTGCACTTAGAGAGAGTAAGTCAAAAAACGGAACTAGAGGGTGAAATTAAACTATTCAAATAAGGAGACGGCAACAACTTTCTTTCCCAGCCTTTACCTTCTGGCTCATTTTTGATGAGCTCTTCCATTTTCCTCTGCTTCAAGGTGTCCACAACATCAGCCAGGCTGCCTTTGCGCCGCTCCGGAGTTCCCAGGGCTGTACTAGACAAGGACTCGCCACTCTGTCGCCCACCTTCTTCTGCCTTCTGAGGTGAGGTAGATGAGTTGTGTGGGGCAAATGAAGACATAACTTTATTGCCATCGACTTCCTGAAAGAGAAAGCAAAAAAAAATTTTGTCTGAAGTTCAGTAAGTTTATTTTTTAATGATTATGTGGCTTGAAACATTAAGAAGTGGAATGCCACTCTGCAAAGGAAATTTCAAAAAAGAATACATTAACTTTACAGGCTAGTGATAAAGTCAAAGACCAATTCATCTGAGTAATAAAAATCTGAAGATTTTGTTGCTGAGATTGGGTATATTGATTAGATTTACTTATGTTTCTGCTTTTGTTTGAAAGTCTTAGATTTTCCTAGGAATATTAAATGTGGCGGTCGTCTATATTTAACTTCCTCATGACACTGTAAAGCTTAAACAAATCACAATATATAGACTTGAATGTCTTTCATTTTAAGTAGCTACCTCTTCTTGATGGCACTCTCAATTAAAGTGAGGTCCACTTTTGGTTCTCCACCTGCCTCTTATTTTTTAGAGAAAGCATCATCCAACAGGTCATTTTGACATAAGATGGAAATACTGCAAGTTTATTTCTGCTTATGCTGAAGATATTTCCAGTTGCATTTGCTATCTAAAACATTGTATCTGTCACTACTCAGTGTGATTTGGTACTTAAGCCTCATTTGCCTTACAAAGTAAAGTTTCTTGCAGACTTTACCTCTTCATAATTGTGCATTTGTATAAAATAATTTATTCTATAATTCTATAATTTAAACAAATTTGGGGTGTTCCTTTTGTCATTATTTCTCCCACAATTTCTAACACAAATCTGGAAATCTGTATAATATTTGGAGTATATTTTGTATAAAAAGTTATAAATTGATTTTTCAGACAGTGTCAAGATGAGTAATATTAGAATGGTAAAGAAAAACTATTTTTTTTTACTTAAAGGTTTTTCTTACTTCCATAATCCTTTGACTCCCCCAAAGCAGAGCTCTTCTTAAAAATAAAAGACAGAACTCATGGACATGGACAGCAATGTGGTGATTTCAGTGGTTGTGTAGGGGTTAGGGGGAGGCAGAAGGGAGGTGGGACAGGGCATAGAGGAATAAATGGTGGTAGAAAAAAATTAAATTAAAAAATGTCTATATCCTAAGGTCTTTGAGGAAGTTAGTCTTCCCCTAAGTATATTTCTTACTTCCACATTATTAAAAGTTTCAATTAAAGTATATTTGAGTGTGTGCATATTTAATATTGAGAATAGATTATATCTGTGTTTACACATTTGTTCTCTATTTAAGACATACTAGTAGATTATGTAGATCCCAGAAAAGTGACAAATCACACTGATTTGATATCTCATGTTTTAAGGCTAATGCTAACATTTTTTAGTAACTTAAAAGTATAGAAATACTAAAAAATAGATGAAAATGAAATGTCAGCACAAAGATGATCATAATCTGTTCCTATGATTTTTTTCTTAATGAGTTTAAAGATATCAGCTCTTGCCCTGACTGGTTTGGCTCAGTGGATAGACCATCGTCCTGCGGACTGAAAGGTCCCAGGTTTGATTCCAGTCAAGGGCATGTACCTTGGTTGTGGGCACATCCCCAGTGTGGGATGTGCAGGAGGCACCCGATCGAAGTTTCTCTCTCATCTATGTTTCTAACTCTCTATCCCTTTCCCTTCCTCTCTGTAAAAATTCAATAAAAATATATTTTAAAAAATAAAAATAAAGATATCAGCTCTGGCAAAAACATCAGTTTTTTGGGTGGGGTGAAGAAAATGGGGAAAAAGAAGTTTAAAAAGTTTTTTAAAAGTGTGCTAATAGAGTCTTTGAAATTGTAATTCTAAACTCCAACTCTTACAAATAGTACAGAATATGTCTCTGATAATTACTATGTCTTGAATGAATATTCTATAGATAATACTTTCATGGATGACTCTTAACTTCTAATGGACTTGGATTTAGAAATCAATATACATAAGGTAATAATGACAAGCCCCTGCAGGCTAAGTGAAGGTACACTTCTGGATTATTTATTTAAAACCAACACATAAATACAAGCAAATGTATAATACGCATACACACACACACACACACACACACACACACACACACACAGCAATCACAAATTCATTCAGTAAAAACTAAGGCATGTTTTTATGAAGGGCCCATCAAACATATTAGCTCAGTTTAGTTTGCAAACCAGAACACAGAAAAACCTCTACATTAATTTCTTACAGATATTTCTTCTCATTTACTTCCAGGGTCAAAGGCAGAAGCACCCCAGTTTTAGCTTCACTCTGAACATTTCTATTTTATTCTGTTTTCATATTATCTGATGGCAAACACCACAAACAAGAACTCAGCAGCCGAACTTAACTTGCCATAATGCAAAATCACACACCTATAGCATCATCAGTAGAGAAAAGGACACCCAAATGGTAGGCAATTAAGTCCATTAAAATGTCAGAGCATAGTTCAAATGAATGCAAAATACAATAATTTCCCCTTTTGCATGTCTCTAATTCTCTACACCTTGTAGAGTGGGAGGGCATATTTTAAAGAGTAAAACATACTTCACAATTACTCTAAACTCAATTATCCCCCAGTATAAAAATAAGTAAATTAATTAATCATTACTGCTATTTCACGCAGAAATATTTATCTTATCGCTATTTCACCTGTCTGATTACATTTCAGCCTCTGGCACTGTTAATCCCTTTAACAGTTTTATGTAGTTAGCAGATGTTTCAGTGTGAGGCTCCATTGTTCATTAACATGGTGAATAGCTTGTGAAGGAGTGCTGGCCCAGTCTTCAGTCAAGACAGGCCTCATTTTTTTCCAGTTTCTTCCCTGGGATTGCATTCACTGTACCTGAAATAATGCCTATGTGTTTCTCTTCACTTTCCTGGCAGGTGAACATCCGGAGAGTTTACTAACAATGGCATTAGTGGTGCAGATTCGCAATATATATTCACTCAAGTTTTATGAACTCTAAGGACAATCCTCAGTATTTTGCAGAAGAAATCTTAGAAATATTATATATTATTTCTGAAGTTAACTGGTAAAAAAGGATTATAAACTTTCTGTTGTTGTTTTTTGTTAGTCCTCACCTAAGGATATCTTTTCCATTGATTTAGAGAGAGTAAAAGGGAGGGGGAGAGACAGAGAGAGAGAAACATCAATGTGAGAGAGACACAGGATTAGTTGCCTCCGACACACACCCCAATCCTGTTTGGGGGATTGAGCTTGACCAGAATTGAACCCAGGACCCTTCAGTCCACAGACCAGTCAGTGCTCTATCCACTGAGCCAAACCATGGATTATTGGTTAAGAAGCTCTGGCCTAAATGTATATATCTTCACAGAAAGTAATATAAACCCATCAATATATACAAATTACACAATTTTTAAATGATCATTTATTTGCAAAAAGAGCTTCGATCTATGACATTATTGACATTTTATTAGGATAAACTTAGTTAAAGGTATATATTTCAATAATTTATACTATTTACTGTTCCCAAGGTAAACATTTAGAAAGAGGTCAATATTTTCATTATACTTAAAGCATAATAAACACATTGAAGAAAAACATTACTTTATTAATGGCAATTGTTTTCTGATTCAGCAATCACCTTGTGATAATACATATATAAATTTGAAATGGAAGGCAGAACAAATTGCCATCTTTTATAAGGAATGTTATCATTTTGACAATTATACCAGTTCAAATTTCAAATACAAATTTTCCGGAAAGGAAAACATAATATGAGCCAAAAACCAACACTTAAAATGATAAATAGAGTTGTTCTTTGGTTAATATGGTCAATATTCTAGGAACAGGATATGGTCAGTTCCCAAGACCTATAAAACAAAATCAGCACCTATAGACAGATCTCTTAAGGGTGCCTGTTATACTTGTGTTAACTGCTGGTATTAAAGACATCCAACTTAAAATCTTTTCTAAATTTTTGCCTAAACAAGAGCTGCCTAATGTGTACTTAGGCTCAGCAATTCAAGAAATAGAAATCGTCAGACACAGTATTATTTGGGCAATTTCCATAACCATCTATAGAGACAGAGCTTATCACAACTGGTCCCCATTCTATGTTGGAAAAAGCCACTAATGAATCTTTTTAACCTTATTGAGTTTTATAAGATCAATAATTCTTAGTGCTTGAACAACTACAAGGTAAACTAATTGAGATTCCAGATATTAGATGAGTGGTTTACATATCTATCTAGGGATGGCACCAGCAAGGGATGGTTATGAATGGTTTTTAAAGTTCCCTGGGGTTTGAGATGATCAAATGCTAAGGTAGGATGCACGTGACCTACTCTACATGGTGTGCTAGCTAGTTACAAGAAACCAAAGTCAGTTTTTATGGAACCCTTATATTTTATACTAGAGGTCCAGTGTATGGATTCATGCACGGGGGGGGGGGGGTGTCCCTCAGCCTGGCCCTGTGGGGATTGAGCCAAAACCAGCTCTCTGACATCCCCCAAGGGGTCCTGGATTGCAAGAGGGTGGTTCTCGGGTGACACACCCCAGAATAGGGCTCCTTCCTCTCTGGTTCAGGGTGCATCACCTGAGAACCGCAGCCGCCAAGTCACTGCAGCTCAGCTGCTCAAAGCCTAAAAATACAGAATGTTTTAAAGATTCCTCTGCTATGCAATAGGATAAAAATTTAGCAACCATCTAACTTGATTTATAGTTTGTTTGTTTTTTGTTTGTTTTTTTTGCCAAGCACTGAGAAGAAACGTTAACTCGGGTCATATTTAATTATTGATAAAATGCCTTGAGTGCTAACTTGTGAGGCAGCATAAAGATGTTCTCAGTTGAACACAGAGAACCTAAAGCCAAATAGCTTTGGTTCAAATCTTGGTTTCACATTCACTAGTTGTGTGACCTTGGACAAGTTATTCAATCTTTCTTTGTCTCATTTTCTTCATCTGTAAAGTGGGCATAATACTATTATCTACCTCATTGGGTTGTTAGTGGATTGAGTTATAAAATAATGAGTTATATGTATTCAGGGATCTCATTAGTTAATATTTGTTTTACAAATGATAAAACTCATCAA